ATATGGAACAACTCAAAAGGTAATCAATATTTTTCTGTAATATATTATATATGTATAATATGTATATGCTTGATTTTCTAATACATTTTTATTCTCAAGTATTAATAACAAATTAATAATTTGCTATTTCGGTTAACAACTATATTATTGTTCCTTAGGTATCCTGCTGTCGCACAAGTGTTTTTGAAGTACAATAATACTGTGCCATCATCAGCACCTGTGGAACGTATATTTAGCCAGGCTGGAATGATTCTCACTCCTAAAAGAAATCGTTTAAGTGATGATTCATTTGAAACTTTACTTTTACTCAAAAAGAACAAACTCTTTTATTGATGTAAATAAATTACTGTAAATAATGAGTTGATTTCTGAGTTTAATAAATTTATAAATATTTCAAATTAACCATGGTATGTACTTAGGTACTTATGTACTTAGTACTTATAAGTATCAAGCATACAATTTGTTTAGGTACTTAGTACTTATAGTTAAGTGCTTTTATTACTGAGTACTTAGTACTTATACTTAAGTACATTTTTTGAGTACTTACGTCATCATTGTATTTAATATATATATATATATATATATATATATATATATATATATATATATATATATATATATAAATTAGGTTTTCATAACAAAGTTCCCATTTTTCTTTTATTCCTATTTTCTAATTTTATTTATCATTTTTTAAACGCAAAGCGCTACAAATAGACCAGTTTCAAATTTCCCGTCAAACATGGCTGCGAAATTTCACAGTAAGTACATAGACAATAAAAAACTGAAAACGGTTTGACCTAACTACACAATCTTACTTCGTATTCTGGCTTACGGATGGAATAATAAGTATGCTGAACATCAGTCCTGCCAGGTTAACCAATGTTTCCTTAAATGTTATAACATGAAAGTGTATTTAAATTTGAATGATCTAAATAAAAGAGTAAGGATTAATAAATTAAATAAAAAAAAAATAAAGTGATAAAATTATAATCAAACATTTCCCGCGAAATTAACAAAAAAAAATTATTTCCTCGATTATTTTGATAAACTAGAAAACAATAACAAAATTACTTGAATTTCGAATTAAATCAATTTAAATTTAAACAGCTTACATTGTTTAAAATTTTTTGTAACAATACTGTTGAAGACGTGAGATCGAGATAAAAAAAAATCTTATAGTTAGAAATTGTTAAACATGCATTGAGAACTGAACCGCTTGTAAATTAATTAGAAGGTGAAAAGTAATTAAAATGGTTGTAAATTCATTTATGGACGTGACACGGCATGTGACACATTTACAAGCAGATCGGTAGCTATATAAACAAAGCAGAAGCAATATTCGAGACACAGAGAGGAGAACGGAAGAAGAAGACGGAACACAGTTGACGTAGAAGTCGTAAATGTGATTTATGTAGTTATTTGAACTAATTTGTTGCTTCTATTACTGCTGGTATTAAATAAACGTTCAAGTTAATTTGCGTTTAAAGTTGTTGTGTTCATCTATCAGAAATCTTGAACCTACGGATAAACGAACTCTTGACTATCGTTGGAACACGGTGTTGGAGATATAGCGAAAATTGAGACTATAACATCGGTGTTGGTAGTTAGGAGGTCGAAAAAGTTAAAACACTGGTGTTAAAAGTGGAATCTTCAGGAGCCTACACAATGGTGACAGAAGTAGGATTTTGATAGCTGGAAACTCACTGCAGTAAAGAACGCCAGGGCTAGGAGAACACAATATATTAGTCTGATGAGAGAAGCTTAATTATTGACGATTGGCTGTATTCCGTAGTAGTAGTAGTAGTAGTAGTAGTAGTAGTAGTAGTGGCAGTAGCAATAGTAGTAGTAGTAGTAACATGTTATTATAAACAGATTAAGAACGTCTAAATATAATGTACGCCTATGCACGGATGCATGCATCAATTTTATTTTTATCTTCAAGATGAAGTTAAACGCAATAGCAACAACAACACATGCTTACGACACAAATGCATACACACACACACAAACACATACAGAAAACAATGTGTACGGACAAAAACCAATGAACCAGGTAAAATTTATAAATTTGTGAAGATTTGTGCACCGCATCTCATTAGGCCACCAAGTTTTATATTTGACTACATCCGGCATTTCTTCATTTATTTAATTTTGAAAAGATGAAACTATTTTGACATAGATAAATGACAAAATAAAATGCAAATCAAGCCAAACCTGGCTCCCATCTTTAGCTGATAAATCTGCCATGTTGTTCCTTCGAGCTTGGTGTTCCATGATCGCTGATCTAGTTGATCCACCAGCAACTCCTACTACAGACTAATTGAAATGAAAAAAAATTACATGGAATATACTGGAAATGTAATCTTACCTTTAAAATTCCCGATATGCAAACAATAAGTGTAAATATGTGAACGAAGTGTTGAGCGATAATATCCAAAAATATTGCAACGTCATTCAATATGTCAGCAAAAAACCTGAAAATTATTAATCAGACTGAACAGGTGGCATAAGAGAAAACATTGAATGTTACCTCCATCTTTTGCAATCACAATCCAAAACACTCCTGTTTTTAAAAATAAACACTCTCTAATCAATTCATCAAATGATAATCAATCGTCGGCAAAATAATACATAATAAATCATGTTAAAAGATACAGCAATAAAGTAAGTAAAATGATCAAAAACTGACACCTGAAAATAATATAATCAAAATAAATAATCAATCTTAAAAACATCAATGATAGAATAATAATAAAAAAATCAACACGGTCATAATCAGTTGTCGACACAAAGGAGTTTTCACTGACTGTAGTTACAGTCTTAACAACTTCTGAGAACCAGGTCCATTACCCGACTAGCTCGTGTAGCCTACTAAAAACTCAAACCCCAACAAAATTGCTTAAATAAGCGGATACCGGGTGTACCTAAATACTTTGGATAAGTTAAACTAGCCAGTCTACTAGTGCAAAATTGAAGAGGCAAATCTGAGTAGTCTGATGTGGTGATTTCAAACATGTGAAATTAATTAAAAAATCACTGCGAATCAGATTAGGCAGTATTAATTAAATGTAATTAGACACCATCAAAAAAGAATCTATACCTTTTTCTCTGCAGATTTGAGACTACAATAAAATCAAGTGGCACCGTTTGCAAAAAGTTGGTGTCAAATAAAAACTTAATACTTTAACCAGTTCGATTTTTATGAAATGTTCAATTTTCTTTTGTCAAACCCGTTTCTAATTTTGTTTGCTTGTTTTACTCATGGATTTTAAAAAGGTTACTCTCGCTTTTGCGCTTGCTTCAAAGGTTTCAACGACAAACACATACAGCGTATATGTATTGTCAGAATTATGAAATAATGCTGACTAAAAATACTGCAAAATTTTCAACGCGAAATTTATTCACTCGATAGGGGGCATGGTGCAAGTTAATTTACTCGATAGGTGACAACGTATTTTTTTTTTGTTTTGCAATTTAGATGACGTCATAAATTATTATAAATTATTTTAAAATTTAATTAATACTTTTTCTGATTAATTGGACATGCCTTGTAGATTTTTATGTTTTAAAACACCCGAAACAAAATCTAATTTTGTTTTGATAAGGAAGGGTGTGAAAAGACTAAGAGAGAGTCCGCTCTGGGTTGACTAGTGAGGCAGCTTCGAATAATCAGTGCCTCTTCTGGTCCCTAAGAGACTTAACGCGTGATTCTATGCTCATTGGCATAGTTTCAGAAACGTCTTAAGTTCTCAAAGAGTCAGCCTTGGGTTCACCAGTTAGGCAGCTTCGAGTAATCAGTGCCTGTTCTGGTATCTAAGAGACTTAACGCGTGATTCTATGCTCATTGGCATAGTTTCAGAAACGCCTTAAGTTCTCAAAAGTGGATTCAATACGAGACTCTATGCTCATTGGCATAGTTTCGCACGCGTACTGAAGACACACAATTTGTTACCAGTGTTTTTCTGACTCTTGTGTTGGTCGTGCGAAAGCCGATCAGACTTGACGGCCCAGTGAAAACAGGCCAAGGTTGTGCGAAAGCCGACCGGACTGACTGACAGGCCCAGTGAAAACAGGCCCTTGGTCGTGCGAAAGCCGATCAGACTCGACGGCCCAGTGAAAACAGGCCAAGGTTGTGCGAAAGCCGACCGACTGACAGACAGGCCCAGTGAAAACAGGCCCTTGGTCGTGCGAAAGCCGATCAGACTCGACGGCCCAGTGAAAACAGGCCAAGGTTGTGCGAAAGCCGACCGACTGACAGACAGGCCCAGTGAAAACAGGCCCTTGGTCGTGCGAAAGCCGATCAGACTCGACGGCCCAGTGAAAACAGGCCAAGGTTGTGCGAAAGCCGACCGACTGACAGACAGGCCCAGTGAAAACAGGCCCTTGGTCGTGCGAAAGCCGATCAGACTTGACGGCCCAGTGAAAACAGGCCAGGGTTGTGCGAAAGCCGACCGACTGACTGACAGGCCCAGTGAAAACAGGCCTTGGGTTCTGTGAAAACGAATCCGCCTCGTTGTTTTGTTTCTTGTGCTATTTGTGGACCTAGGGTTCTTTGCTGGATTCTATACTCATTGGTATAGTTTCACACGCAGCTTGGAATTTCCATAGGCTCCGATTTTTGTGATTCATTTTTTTTTTTTATTTATTGGAGTTGTATCGACATCACCATCGGATACACACGTCGAAGTTGTACGATTAAAACGCCAAGAAACATATTCCAAGTTGAAGACCCAACAAGAAGAGTTCTAATTCCTGTATTCCAGTTTGTTCATTGACATTTACATTATTATAGAGTTCATTAGTTCAATTCCTTTTATTTACTTCCGTCGATTAATAAAATTGTTATCGAATATTTTTCTTTACGCGTTCGTGTGTTACTCAGTAAAATCATATAATTCGAAAAAGCCCAGTGCCACACAGGACTGGTCGAACTCACGATAAAAATATACACAAAAATTATTGTCGGACCATACAAAAATTCCCTGAGAAAGATAGAGGAGGAGATTGCTTCCTCTTATCATTTTAATTTATTATTATTTTAAAATTTCCGACAATTGGCGCCCAACGTGGGGCCTTGTCACCCTTTTAAAAATCCTCCTCCTCCTCATTAATTTATTATTTATTATTTTAAAATTTCCGACAGTATAATAAGCGGAGATCTCTTTGTAATCAAACCCAGTCACTGCAGCATCAAGACCAGCCGCCTTTAACCTTTAGCCACTTAGAACTTACATACTTAGTACTTGAAACTTGTACCAGGTACTTAATTTTTCAGTATTTGATACTTATACCAAGTACATTTTATGACTACCTACGTCAACACTGTTTAATTCTATATAGATTACAGTAATTGTCAGCAATTTGATTATTTATAAGAGGCATGAAAAAAAAACCAAAACTACAAAAAAAGCAAAAATCGGAGAGTTTGTCTGTCAAGATAATTAATAAGGGATAATAATGCTAAATAGTTTGAACTTATTAAAAATATTAATTCAAATTTAGGTTGATTATGCTCGATTACATAGCACCAATCTATGATAAATTATCAAAACAATCTCTAGCTAAATAAGAGTAAAGAAATGAAATTTAATCATATGAACTAATAATTAGCTGTGTATCTGGCTAGCCAAAAAATGGTTTAATAATATGAGGCACTTCAGATGTGTAAAGCATAAATAGAAGAGGACCAATAATTTCATTTTTACAGCTTAGTAAAACAAATAAACTATCATTTGTAAAAAATAAGAAAGATGTTTACCCTCGAAACCAAGCAAACATTATTCTGCCAACCATACTGGTTCCATCTGTAATTACAAAGTCGAATACAATTTTACGTTTTAAAATAATTATCAAATAGAAAACCTTTGAGTAACCATGTAAGAGTAGCAGCAGCGATTGTTGCTGAACTATCACCAACACCTACACCCTTTAAAATTGATTGAGTTGCCAAAGTAGCAGTTATACTGCTACAAAAAGCCTGTTAACGAGTGGAAAAATAACAAATTAACTAACTTATAATTTTTTTATATAATTTTATGAACCTTTCGATTCGTTTGATCGAACTTAATAAATGTAAATTAGCATAAAAAAAATTCGTGACGATCGATATTCTAAAAAAAACATTTAAATTAATGTAGAGAACGCAGAACTCAGAATTAAATAAATCAAAGATGTGTCTAAGGTACAGACCAGCAACATCTATTAAATTTGTGCAAACAACATAATTGATCGAGAACAGAAGGGTTTTGAGGCTACAGCCAGTATATAGTTTTACAGGTAACGCGGGTGAAATCATCGATGGCTTGAAGAAGTTTGATATAATAAAAAGTTTTGAAGGTTTTTGAAAAAGAAGTTAACTTGCCTCGGTGATTAAAATTCTTTTTGAATGTTTTACTTACAAATAGAGTAAAAAGTAAATTAAAAATAAATATTAGACAAAACAAATTCAACGTGAAAATAAATTTGAATGACATTTTTGTTGATAATGAAAATAAATAGAAAAATTTTCTATTGACAGCATAAATGCGGTTGGCAAAAAAGTTTTTAAAAATGGCATTATGTTAAAACCTGAATGGTGTCCCAAATTTGGTACTCTAAATAATCTCCACTGACACTTTCAGGATAACCTTGAGGCATGAATATGGACTGCAATGTAATGATAAAAATTAATGTAGTATCCAAAAGGCTTGCAATAATATCAAATATCATACTTGGAATAAGGTTTTAAAAGACTGAAAATTGTTTTCATTAAAAATTTGTCGTCGAACACCAGTTTCCTCAATAATATAATCATTGACTATTCCAGATGATCCATATTTTTCTTTTACAATTTTTTGAAGCATTTTAGAGAGCTTTAAATGCTAGCGATTGATCTGAAAAAGTTATAATGTTATAAGTCTTTAAGCAAAATTTTTACTCAACTAAAATAAGTTGCATCCTTAATTAATTTTGAAAAATACTCTAAATTTAATTTAACAAAAAAGAATGTCTGTCTGTTCCATAGGCATTCAATAAACGTTTGTAGAAGAGTGGAAAAACTTAAAATGATCTTGCATGTCAAATAATGTGGTGCCAAGCCGTGTAATGATCGAAACAATAACACAGCAATTCTGAAAATTATCCTCTTCTCATTTTTTAGCCAGTGTAGCTCGTTTATGATTGGAGTCACACGATCAAACTTTAAATTTTTTTGTGACAAGTTTTGCAGCTCGATTTTGAATTGACTGAAGAACAGCTATTGACTTGTCAAGTAGTTTAAAGTACAAACTGCTACAATAATACAACCTAGATGTAATAAAAGCATGTACATGTACCAATCTTTCCATAGAAGATTTATTCAAATAATGTCGAATCATGTATAATCTTCTGAGATGTATCATATTTGCAATTGCTAGCGATTTAACTTGATCTTTCATTGAGAGCCTGCTATCCAGCCATACACCCAAATTTAAGGCTGTAGAAACAAATGATACCTCAACGTCACCCGCCTCAACCGAGTTTATATCAAGCCTCGACAACTGATGCCATGTACCAACCGGAGGCATCTGGGTTTTACCCGGGTTCAACCTCAAGGAATTGCTCAACATCCAACTTTCAATCTTCATCAAACATCTAACAAGTCTATCGATCTCAGGCTGAAATGTCTCTAAATGACCTGTAACAATTATTTGTATATCATCTACGTACGCCTAACCAACGAGTCCATGCGAATTTATTTTTTTAGTTATATCCAATGTATAGAGTAAAAACAAAACTGGCTCTAACACTGATCTCTGAGAAACTCCTGTAGACGGCTGATAAAACTTTTCTAAACAAAACCTGTTGAGTCCGTCCCGTTAAGTATGATGATTCAAAACAGACAAGTGCTGTTCCTAACACTCTAAAGTTATTATGAAATTTTTCCAAAAGTTTGTTGTGATCAACGCAGCCGAATGCAGAAGACATCAAAAAAGGAGAGTAATGATATCCTCCGATCATCCATACCAGCAAACAAGTTTGACAAAACATGAAGCATGTTTTCGTTGAAAATTTAAACTCAGCTGAATTTATCATCATTAAAAGAATTGTTTGCCGAACTTATACCCAACATCTTATTGGCAACATACCAAAAATTCTTTTAATTTTTGTTACTATTTACGATATTGTTCTAATAATGCGTACGCTTGTCAGAAAAAAGTTTGTTTTCAGTATTGAATGAAAGTTCCCAGTTCCTTTGACGTCCAATATCCGGACAGTTCCTACAGATTCTTTCAATTTTCCTACAGAATATACACTCGTTATCAAACCAAAGTATAGCATTTGTCTGTTTAAGATAAATCACCAGCATAGGCACTAAATTGTCAGAAATTCGTTTTACTTCACTACTCAACACATCAAATTCATAATCAACAACATCAGTTTGGCATTTAATCGCCACAGGAGAATTAGCCAGTGCTTCAACAAAACATCTTTGATTCAGATCTTTCCACAATCTAACTTGAGTCAACGCCACTCTCACAATTAATTATATAACTGAGTACACTGAACACGTATCAATCCCAGTACCAAGAATTGGAAAATCATGTGAACAAATCACTAGATCTAACGTACCTCCAGACACATGCGTTTGTTGTTAACATGATTCACCAACTGGAACATATCAAGTATTTCATGTATTCGTAGAGTAAAAGGACTATCCCTCTTATATATATATATATATAAGTTATAAAATATATAAAATATATATAAATGTGCATATATATATATACATGTATGTGCATGCATATACATGCCTACATATGCATATATATACGCATATGTAGGCATGTATATGCATGCACATATATATAAATATAATATTAATTTTATTATCAATATTATTAGTGGAGAATTTATATAACGCCCTCAGAGGCGCTTCTTGAGCCTAGTGGAATTGATGCATGAAAAAAAACGTTTTCAGTTCCCTGCGAAATTGTTGCACCGTCAATTCTGGTTGACGCAGACTGGCAAACTGTTCCAAACTGTTGGACCTGCAACTGCAAAACTACGAGTGGTCACCACTAACCGCGTCTCCGGCAACGACAGAAATAATTTGTCATCTGAACGTGTCGAAACACGATGAGCTGTTGTTGTTTTATATGACAAATTTTTAGACAGATAGTGTGGGCCTAAATCGTTTAGGCATTTAAACACTAGAATGGCGATCTTGAACAATATTTTTTTTCTGATTGTTAGCCAATCAAGGTCAAACAGGATGCGGCTTACATGGTCAAACTTCAATTCTCCAGAAATGATTTTTGCCGCTCGATTCTGAATAGACTGATTCTGATACTCCATAAAATACACTGTTGGAGTAATCCAATTTTGAATGAACAAATGAATGACCAAAGCATTTCAGTGTTTTCCTGTCAAAAGATTTTTTTATTTTTCCAAATCTTCGAAGCTGAAACAACATTCCTTAGTAAGTGTCTTGATATGCTGGTCCATTGTCAGAGTTTGATCAAATGTGATACCCAAACTTTCAACCGATGTGCATAAATCGACAACAGTACTAGAAATATTGATTGAGTTAACACGAATTTTTTGTAACTGTTGCCACATGCCAACAGGCAAAAGCTGTAAAAGCCGATTTTTAACATAGAAACAATAATATATGTATATATATAATATATATGCAGAAATTTATGAAATCTATCAAATTTCTAGCGTTGGGTAGTTTTTTGTTACATTTCTCAATATTTCTAACCAAATTTTTGTCGTCATTGTTTATTTTATTAAAATTAAAATAATATACAGTTTTCCAATTCTTTCTTGAGTGTATAGGACCTATTTCGATTTTGCAAATATCTTAAATATCTTCCGCACTTTTTGCAGTTTATATAGAAAATTCGTATAAACCAGGTCTTAGTTTCTGTGATTAGTCCCTATTTGTTGTTATCAGTGAGTTTGTCATTATTTACAATTCTTAAGTTACTTATTTTATTAGTGTTAATTATTTGCTCTTTAATAACACTTTGATCGATGTTACTTTCTTCAGTGTTTTCATCGGTACCATTGATGCTGTTAGTATATTTTGTTATTATGGTTCTTCTTGTCGAGAGTACTGTTGAAATCTTTTGTTGTTTGTTTATTCAAGGATTGTTTTATGTCAATGAGGATGGCTTCAGCTAAAATCAAATGGAAATGGCTGGAATTACAGTATGTTATTTTGGTGTTGTTGTTGTTCATGATTTCACTTGTAGTTTCAATATCATGTGTGTGTTCTAGGTGTGTTTTTATTGAACCTTCTCTTTTGTGCATGGTCAGTCGTCTGGTTAGCGAAGTTGTAGTTATTCCGATATATCATGACGTGCACAACCGTCAAAGGTACATAAAAATTCATATATCAGATGGCTGTTTTGAAAACAAAACCGTGCTGAAGAAGAGGAGTGCAGCTGTTTTGTTCTTAACAAGGTTTGATGTCTTTGCATTCCTATAATAAATTCGTAGTTTATTTTGTCGGAGGAGTTACTTGGTTTCACATTTTTACAAATTATTTGTTTTAAGACAGATCCGGGCCTTTCCATCCTTCATAGCTTTCAGAGCTTCTGTAAGCTCCTCTACAATGATGTCTGGAATCGGACCGTCGATGGGTGGAGCGTCAAGGATGACATTGATGGGATTTGTTTCACTTAACAGACGGTTGAAATATTCTTTCCACTGTAGCTTGATCCCATTTTGTTCAAGAACCATCTCATTTTTGTCGTTTTTGATATATGAGGCGTCAACTATGTCTTTTTTCGTACGCTTTGCTTGTTTTGCTATAAGTTACAAAGATTTCATTTGTTCACCTTTGCTTTTAGTGAGCCACTCTCTGCACTGATCGTTTCGAGCCAGTGCGACTTGACGTCTTGCATTGTTGTTCTTCTCACGTAAAAATTTGTGGTCATCAACAGACTTTGATTTTTGGCATTGCTTGTATGCAGCTTTCTTTTCAGCTATTGCATTTTGTACACTGTCGTTCCACCACCACGTGTCCCGTCCATGCTGGCGTTTTGTACCAGTTTTCCCACAAACTGTAGTTGCAGCGTTTATCAAAACGGTTTTGTATGTACTCCAATCTGTACTGAATTGCAATTGGTGGTCTGTGTGGCGAAAATTTGTTGAAATTTTCCTCGATGAATATTGCTTTTCAGCTCCCACGTTTTGATTTTCCGAGACATTTGTTTAGACTTATGTTTTGACAGTTTGACAACCAGGTCTGCCACAAAGAGTCTATGTTGGGCGACACATGATTCGCCAGGTATAACTTTGACATTTTTGAATAGCCTTCGGTGTTGTTGCTTGACAGTGAAGAAATCAATCTGCGTGGCTGATGGTCCACTTTTGTATGTTATAAGATGTTCCAACTTCTTTTTAAAATATGTGTTCAGTAAACAAAACCCGTGACTTTTAGCAAACTCAAGGATGCGGTTGCCATTTTCATCCCGTTCTCCGTAGCCAAAACCGCCATGCACGTTGTCAAAATCATCTGTTTTCTCTCCAACGTGGCCATTGAGATCGCCTCCAATCAGGATTGTTTCAGATTTTGGTATTGTTGAGATGGTGCCAGAGAACGCAGCCCAGAAGTCATTTTTCATCTCTTCTGATTCGCCTGTCTGAGGTGCCTATGCAGGAAAAATAGTCATTGTTGCTTT